TGTATGAGTAGAACTGCTCCATAGGGTTTTCAAGGCTGTGAACTTTCAGAAGCAGGTCACCAGGCCTTTCTTCCAAGGTGCCTCTGGGTGGGTTCATACTGCCAGCCTTTTTAGTTAGTAATCACGCATTTAACCAACTGTGCCTCCCAGGGACTCCAGTGGGGTCGTAATGAGTGAAAATAGACCTGAGCTCTAGACGTGAGAAGGGTGTTCATCTAAGACGCCCCTACATGACAGCAAATCCACAGTTAGAGAGTGTTTCGAAGGGAGAGGTCTCTGGTGCTGGGAGATGTGGGAGAGAAGGGCCTGGGAGGTCAGGCAGGAGGACTTTCTAAAGAAGGAGTGTGAACAGCAAAAGGGGAGGAATACACTCCGGGGTGGCTGTGTGACCTGCAGGGTTAAGCAGCCCTGGTTATGGGCCTGGAACTAGGGAGCCACCTCTCCAGGCTGCTGTGTCCTCTTCTCTCTGCAGTGGCTAACTTCGACCCGGGCACCTTCAGCCTGATGCGCTGTGACTTCTGTGGAGCAGGCTTTGACACGCGGGCTGGCCTCTCCAGCCATGCCCGGGCCCACCTGCGTGATTTTGGCATCACCAACTGGGAGGTCACTGTCTCGCCTATCAACATCCTGCAGGAGCTATTGGCCACCTCAGCAGCCGAGCGGTCCCCCAGCCCCCTGGGCCGCGAGACCGGGGGGCCACCTGGCGCCTTCCTCACCTCCCGTCGGTCCCGCTTGCCTCTCACGGTACCCTTCCCATCCACCTGGGCTGAGGACCCTGGACCTCTCTATGGAGATGGTAAGGGGAGGGGGTGGATAGGGTGGAGGGGCCTGACTCTTTCCAGGGGCCCCATGGGGTACATGGAGGAATGAGGGGGGCACAACTCCACGTTCCTGAAAGTGCTATGAATTGCTTCACAAAGCACATTCATACTGTCCTCACAACCACCCTACCATGTGGGGCTCATTCTGTTTGATTTGGTGGCTGGGTTGGATCCCATTCCTTCTTCCCACTTCCTGACAGTAATCAAGCCAACGCTTACTGAGCTCTTCCTGAACATTTTGCCAACACAAGTCCATCTGCATCCTCACAACACCCCCATATGGCGAGTATTATGGGCCCCATTTTACAAATAAGGAAACTGAGGCACAGAGGGCTTAACTAACTTGCCTGAGGTCACACAGCTATAAGTAGCACGATACAGATTTGAACCCAGGCAGCCAAGAGCTCCAGAATCTTTGCTCTTGATGATACCTTGTAACAGTTGCCATCAAGTCAATTCTGATTCATGGTGACCTCGTGTGTGTCAGGGTAGAACTGTGCTCCACGGGGTTTTCAGTGGCTGATGTTTTGGCGGTAGATTGCCAGGCCTCTCTTCTGAGGCATATCTGGGTGGTCTTGGTTATCAACTGAGTGCTTAACCATTTGTACCACCCAGAAACCCCCATGTCTAGAGCAGTGCTGTGCACTAGAATGTTCTGAAACAATGAAGATATCCTCTGTCAGCGCTACTCAAGATGGTGACCACGAACCACATGTGGTTGCTGGACACTTGAAATGAGGCTACTCCTAGAGTAGCGGTTACCCTGTTGGACGGTGCAGATCTAGCGTCTAGATTCTAGATTTTCAGTGACTTCTAAGTTATCTGGTAGCACTGATAATCCCTTCTGTTAATCAAGCAGTGCTACATATTGAGATTTTGGCCCTGTATCATCTCATTTATGCCTCAGGATAATTCTGTGGGGCAAGAACTGTTGTGTCACTGTTCTGTAGATAAGGAAATAGGGGGTACCTGCTTGCATGGCACACAGCAGCAGGGCTGGACTTCTGAAAAGCATCATGTTGGGTGGTCTCTTTGGTGGATAGTGGCTTGGGAAGTCCCATGGTACTGTTTAGTGGAGGCCTGTCGGCCTGGACACCAGGGGAAGTAGACCCAGCCTAACAAAGCCTGACTTTGAGAGCCCCTTTACTGAACCTCAAGGCAGAGAACTCAGATGTGTGGAGCACGTGGGTTTTGTTGTTGTTAATTGCCAATGAGTTAGCTCTGACTCATGTGACCTCATGTGTGCAAAGCAGTACAGCACTCCATAGAGGTTTTAAGGCTGTAACTGTTCAGAAGCAGATCACCAGCCCTGTCTTCTGAGGCACCTCTGGGTAGGCTTGAATGCTAGTAGTCAAACGCCTAACTATTTGTACCACCCAGGAACTCCTGGTGGGCTTGGAGACACGGGACGGTCCAGGAGCTGGCAGGGGCTCCTCTCTCTGTTTCTCCTACCTTCAGCTTTCAGGGCACTACCTAGAGCTGTACTCTGGGCTTGGCTAGATCCAACAATCTGCAAGCCCTCTCACCCTGTAAGGCACTCGAGGTCTGCAAAGGGGAAGGTGGGGCTATCAGATCCCCACCTCTCTACCTTTGACAAGGAGGAAATTGAGGTCCTATCTTGGGGACAGGCAGAGTAGGAACATGACCTCGGGTCTCTTGCCTCTGCTCAAGGTGGTCCCCTGGGTGCTCTATTCACACACCTGGCTTGCTTTGCAGTGTCTCCAGGGTGGCTGGGAAGCAGAGCTGGCTCTGGGGATGGTTGGGGGCACAGGAGGCGGTGCTGGCTCCTGCCCTGCCCCTTTTTTTTCTGTCATCCCAGCAGAGGTCTGCAGAGCCCTAGGCATCAGGCTCACATTGCTTACTGGGCATCCAGGCCAAGCACCTGGGATTGGGAACAGTGTCCAGCAGCTGGGCCATTTCTGCTAGAGGACCAATGTGCCAGGCCATTAGGGTGTGAGGGATCAGTCTGTAGACGAGAGGTGGGATTGGCACCGGCCTGGCCTTATTCTTGGGAAGGCAGGCTGTGACCACCCTTTTCAGTGGACACTTGGGATGGGGGCAGCACATAAAGATGCTGAAAGCATCACCTTGATGGAGGTTGCCCAAGACTACGGACCAGGTCTGGGCACTCTCATAAGCGCTGTCCTTAGAAGTTAGAAGTTCCCTAGCGGGCCTGAGAGGGGCGGGTGCCAGGTCGAGGGCGGAGCAAAGGTCAAATTCTGGCCCCACCTAGCTGTCAAGGCACCGCAGGGGCAGCCAGTTTGGTGTAGCGCAGAGGGACCAGGAGTGCTTGGAAGGCGATGCTGGATTTGAGGGGGTTCTCCGAACTGGACAGCGCCGTCGCCATGATGTCATGATGTTGGGGGTGCTCTCGTGACTGGAGATCAAGTGTCTTCCAGGATTCCCCGAAAGGGAGACTTCAGGAAAGGGAGATGTCCCACCGGCCTGTCGGGGCTCCAGGGCTCTGGATGCTGTTACAGTGGGTGCATGGGGCAAGAGGTGTCCCATCTTGGCCTTAGGTGCTGCGAGTGGGGTCCCGTTCCGTCGAGGCCCGGCAGCACCGACGTTGGCAAGTGAGGCGCTGGTCCGCAGGGCAGGAACCAGAGTTCGGTTCGCGGAGCTCGGAGCTCGGCCGGCCACCCTGGGCGCGCCCCAAGGGGCGGGGCTGAGCGGGTTCGGCGTTGGCGGCGCTCGGCTGCTCCCGCCTGGGGCGGCCGGCCCGCGTGCGCCGGTGCCAAGATGGCCGCCTCCACCGCCCAGTGCCGAGTGACAAAAGCGGACAGCAAGGCGG